TATAGCTAATATTCAGAAAGGGAATCTAGCCCCTGCCTTCCAGATTTGAACACCCTCAAAATTCAGGAGTGCTCAAAGCTCAATTTGGCAGCTGTTACTTCATTTCCCCCCAATCAAATATACTGATCCACTGTAACTTGCTGTAGAAAAAGTAGAATAAATTGAGCCAGAAATGCTTCCCAGTGGTTGTTAGGACTGGAATTGCTATTTTCAACAGCCATTGCTTTTTTTAAAAAAAAAGTTTTAGTTTTATTTGTTTAAAAGAAAGACCGTGATAGTGCATTCCCCGTAGAAACAAAGAATGGAACAAAAGAATAATAAAGGCAACTCAACTTTTTCTCTGCTGAATGACCCGCCCTGGGAGCCAGTTACCAGTGACCCAGGGCTGGGGCGGCAGGAGGGTGCAGTTGGGGTGGTGGTGGCGGGGGGAGAGCCCAGGGCTGGGGTGGGGGGCAGCCAAAAATTTTTTTGCTTGGGGCAGCAAAAAACCTAGAGCCGGCCCTGCACGGAGGGAGGTGGCCACAGTTCCCTCCTTGTGGCTGGGTTCCCCCCACATGTTCTACTTGCCCTCCCTGCTGCTTTACTTTCGTCTCGCCCCTAACCCTGGCTGCCAAGAAGAGGAAGGGAGGGGTGGTGCCATTTTCAGTGGCCAGCAAGGCAGGCCAGCCCTGCTTCCTTCTTCTCTCACCCCGGGTGTCCTGGCCCAGCGCCTGCAACCCCCACCCCAGTGCACAGCTGCAAATCTCGGCTCTTGCGAGGCTGCACTGGCGAAAAGAGCCCGTCGGCCTCGGTGCTCCTGTGGCGTGCAGGGTGGCTGGCACTCCAGGTGGTGTGTGCCGGGGGCATGACCCCAGGGGTCAGTCTGGCTAACACTCCAGGGCTCTCCCTTTGTCTTCCCATTGTCAATCCCAGTGGAAAGCCACGGCAGTCGTGCTCCAGGGACTTCAGCTTTCAAGGGAAATGCAACGTGGTCCGGGGATTTCTAGCCAGACAGTGGAGCTTCCTGGCTGAGGGCATTTCTCATCCAGCGCCCAAGGGCTGCCAAGCAAATAATCCAGGACAGCACACGGCAGCACAGAGCCACATGGGAGCTGGACCTCAAAGCACCTGAGTTCCGGCTTCAGTCCGGAACTCACGCCCTCCGAATGGGCCCCCTGGATCTGTTCAGCACTCCCCAGCTTCTTTCCCCTCCTCTTCAGGGACCTTCCCCTGAGGCCTTTTGTATTGCCTTGGTGAAAAGGAGGTGGAAATAGCCCTTGGCTGGCGTAGAGATGGATAAGGGTCCTAACCTCGCCCCTGGCAGAGGGGGGGCGGATCAGGGCGTGGCTGGAGTACACTGCACGACAGCTATTACCTGCTTCCCAGGGACCAAAGGGAAGGAAAACATAAGCTAGAGCAGTCCAGAGGCTGCTCTAATTTACACCAGAAGCCAGGCAGACCCCTGCACTGCCCAGAATATGGGGAGCGCAAAGATTTCCTAGTGCCACTTCTATCCCACCTTCCACTCCTGCCCCAATCAAGTAACTGACAATCGGGCTCAATGTCCCCACTGCCTCTTCCCCCTCCACTCCCGCCCTGGCCTCATGCGCTGGTGCCCAGAACCCCTGGTGGAGACAGGCCTGGGTCCCTCCCAGTGCTCGGACAGAGACCCCAGCTTCCTTTGGGTTTGAGCTGCCAGTCCCAGGCAGGGTGTGGAGAGCGGGTGCGTACGGGGCCTGGCTCTATGTTCTGGGCATGTGGAGCCCCGCCTGGCATAGGAGCTGTTGGCAGTTTTGTGCCGCGCTGATAAGAATCGCGTGCACCAGAAAGGCCCTTGTTGTGGCTGTCGTTCTGGTATCCGGGCCCAGCTGCTGCTCCGAGGGCTTGTGTCTCTGAGCTGCGCTGTGACAAAAAGAGCAAATCATGAAACCGCCCAATGGTGCAGCAGCTGGAGGGAGAGCAGGAGGGCGCAGTCTCCTGTCTCACCCTGGCACCTTGCGGCGGGGGCTTCCTTCAGACACATAGTGCCTGAGCTTGTCTGTCCCTCCCCGTGCCAGCGAGGAACACCCTGGGAGGCTCTAAGCTCCCCGCTGTGGCTGCTGTCCTCTCCCCTGGCCGGAAGGGAGGGGTTGCCATGGTGCAGGGCAGCAGGGGGTCCTGTCACAGCACCATAACCCATGGACTGAACCCGCCATTGCAATGGGCACAAGCTCCTCTCTCTCCCCACTCTGACCGTTGGTTCAGACAGTGGCATGGGCCCTGCTGGGCTGCCCTGCCCCTGTGTGCTCCATCGCCCAGGAGGGGTTTGCAGGATGGGGGTGAGGACTGAGGGCCCTGCCGGAGATGGGCAGAGATGGCTGTTGGGAACGGGGGAGGGAGAGAGGGGGGGTCAGCACCCCACTCGCTATCGTGGTCTAGGAGCTTGTGGCTCTGACGGGCAGGGTGTCAAAGGTCAGACCCCAGCGGGTTCCTCTCTCTCGTTGACCAAGAACCACAAATAATCCCCCTGCCCCCGGGTCAAAATGTGACTAGAGATTCCCCCCCAAGGGAGTAAGTGCAGATCGTGAAGCTGCGTCTCCCACACATGGTGCCCTATGGGCGCCGGCTGCAACAGTCGCTTTGTACGTGCCGTCTCCTCTCTCTGGGCATAGACTGAGGGGCTGCCTGGTCTTTGCGTCTCCAACGCGCCCCACTCACTGCTCTATGGGACCCCAGCTGTGTGAGCTCCCTTGGGGGAGGGCAAGTCAATGGAGTCACACCAGAGATGGCTTGGTCCCAAGTCCCTGCTGTGGTGAGCTCCCTCCCAGCAGTGCCGGCTGGGCCCCAAGCTGACAGTGTAGTGGTAGGAGGATCGTGCTAGCCACTCACTGCGGTAACACGGGCCTCCTCTCCCTCCTTGCCCCCTGCCCCGTCTCTCTGCAGGTTACTATAACGGTCACACCAAAGTGGCCATTAAGAATCTGAAGCAGGGCAGCATGTCCCCCAGCGCCTTCCTGGCAGAAGCCAACCTCATGAAGAGCCTGCAACACCCCAAGCTGGTGCGGCTCTACGCCGTGGTGACTCAAGAGCCAATCTACATCATCACGGAGTACATGGAGAAAGGTGAGCCCGACGGCAGCTACCCTGCCCTCCCGAGCCGCGCACTCCCCAGGAGACTTGCGGGGTGGGGAGCCAGGCCCAGCCCGGCCTGCTGAGGAGCTGCCGTCAGTTTGGGGAGATCCACCAGCCGGTACCCCTGCAGCGCCCTGCTGCCCTCCTGCTTTGTGCAGAGATCTTCAGCTGTGGAGCATCTGAAGCAAGAACCGGCAGGGCGCCCAGAGCAGAGAACGAGGCCTGGGGGGAGGCGGGTAAAGCCCTACGGGCTCATCCAGAGGCTTCCATCCCTTCCTTCAGGCTTGTGCTCAGCTTGGCGGTGCCTATGGCTCTTGCTCGATTCCCAGTGCCCCCCCCCCGACGGTGCTCTACTGAGAGACTGAGTAGGGCAGAAGTGTGGTCCAGCTGTTAGAGCAGCGACTCAGGAGCCAGGACGCCTGGGTTCTTTTCCCAGCCCTGCCACTTACTCACTGTGTGACCTTGGGTGAATCACTCCAATGCCCCGTTCCTCAGTTTCCCCAACCTTAGCATGGGGATGATGGCAGCCAGCTGGTGGTTACAGGGTTTGGCGCTTATCCACTGGTTGTTTGCAGAGCACTGCGTGGCGGAAGCGGTCCCAAGAGGGGCACTGTTACTGCAAAGCCTCTTAAATGCCCTGTCCTGCTTTTCCCCCTTTCCCCTAGAACTGGGCCTCAGGGACAGCTCCATCTGAACTCCCCAGTGCCTGGGAGAGCTGACCCGGAGCCTGGCGTTCCCTTGCCTCATTACTAACGAGACAGGAAATCACCCTGGGCTCGTGGCGCTGCGGCTATTCTAGTCCCTCCGGCGGGCGCTGCCTATTGTCTCACGCAGTCTTTCATTTCCTTCACCTGCTCTGAGAGCCAAGAGCAGCGGGTTCGGGTCACAACCTCCATTATCCAGTGGGTGTGACAGTGAACCTGGACAAACTAATCCTGGCAGAGGAGGAGGGAGGTCGGCTGGATGGGATAGGGAGAGACAAGACCTACAGACAGCTCTCCCTTTCCTGCCTGCCTCCACTCCGTGCCAGGCCGTGAGCTTCCTGGCAAGAACTAAAATGATTAGGGGTTTGAAACGGGTCCCATATGAGGAGAGATTAAAGAGGCAAGGACTTTTCAGCTTAGAAAAGAGGAGACGGGGGGATATGATAGAGGTCTATAAATCATGAGTGGTGAGGAGAAAGTGAATAAGGAACAGTTATTTACTTGTTCCCATAACATAAGAACTAGGGGCCACCAAATGAAATGAATGGGCAGCAGGTTTAAAACAAATAAAAGGAAGTTCTTCTTCACACAGCACACAGTCAACCTGTGGAACTCCATGCCTGAGGAGGTTGTGAAGGCGAGGACTATAACAGGGTTTAAAAGAAAACTAGATAAATTCTTGGAGTTTAAGTCCATTAATGGTTATTAGCCAGGACGGGTAAGGAATGGTGTCCCTAGCCTCTGTTTGTCAGAGAGTGGAGATGGATGGCAGGAGAGAGATCACTCGATCATTACCTGTTAGGTTCACTCCCTCTGGGACACCTGGCATTGACCACTGTTGGCAGACAGGATACTGGGCTGGATGGACCTTTGGTCTGACCCAGTCTGGCCGTTCTTATGTTCTTAAAAGTGTCGTAGAAGGCAGGAGTCCAGTTCAGAGGGCTGCTAAACAAAAGTCACAAGGGGCAAATCCCAAGGGTGCAGCATGGCCCTTCTCTGTCTCGCCGGCTCCATGGCAGAGTCATGTTCCCTTCCTCTGAGAGTTGGCGGCTCTGCCAGAGGAAACGCGCCTGCCTGTTATGTTTGGCTGTTGAGCAGAAAGGCCGATGGGACCCAAGCTGCCCAGCCAACTCCAGGGTTGTTCAGGTCTATTTTTAGACCTGGGACATGTTGCTCAAGAAGTTGGCAAGGAGTTGATTTCTCAGTATGATCCTCCCATGGGACGATGGGGGCTTATAGGGGTCCTTGGGGAATGTTTCTCAGAGGGGCCCAGGTCTGTCGTTTCGGAGGAAGTTCACACTGCATGGTGCCTGTGTGTGTGAATTGATTGTCGAGCAGTTGGGGCAGGGGGAGTTATACGGGGCAAGCTCCTGGCTTCAGAGGGAAATCACATGATGGCAAACCAGCAAAGGGAGCAATAACCTCCTTCCCCACCCTGTGAACCCAACCCAGCCTGGTCCCCCACTGGCTCATTGTTCATCCAACTGGGCCAGGGGGGGTTTTAGCAAATCAGTCCCTGCTCCTGTCTGAACAACCCAGGCCAAATGAAGGCCTTGGATCTGCTTGCACCTTTGAGAAGCCCTGCCCTGATGGACGGAGACTGTCCGGGGCTGGGGCTGGGGCTGAGGGCGGCCGAGCTGGTTCCCTCAGGGCAGGGTTGGCATTGACTGGGGCTGGTCCTGTTGCAGGGAGCCTGGTGGATTTTCTCAAGACCCCCGAAGGAATCGGACTCACCATTAACAAATTGCTGGATATGGCAGCGCAGGTGAGGAGGAGGAGCGCCGGGAGATGGGAGCCGGATAGGGCTGATGCCAGGCTGGGGACGAGCTGGCAGAGTCTGTCTCCAGGGGCACGGGGGGTTAATGTTCCCTAGGGCTTTGTGCTCAAGTGATGGGAGCAGGTCTCGGCCTGATACCCTGGGAATGGATGGGCCCATCCAACCAGAACCCTGCATTTTGACACACTTCATCATGACTGAGAGGCTGAGGGCTGGACAGTGGGGGGGGGGCTGTGTGTCGGGATGGAGGGGCATCGGCAGAGCTGTGGGGTGGGGGCAGGGCAGGAATAGCAGCGGGCTGTTGGTCAGAACCGAGGGGCACGGGCAGCACTGGGGTGGAAGGAGTTTGTCCAGCCCCTGCCTGTCCTGCACCTGGCGCTAGCCCCAGCAGCCATCACTCCCTCATGTTTACAGTCAGTAATTCCCCCATCCCCCATATCCAACGGAGTAGGAATTTCCCCTCTGTGTCTTTCCTTCTCCTCTGCACCCCACGCCCGACTCTGGCCACCACACCCCCCCCCCGGCCCTGACATCTGCAGGAGATGCTTGACTAGCTGAGGGGAGAGCAACCAGTGGGGAGTGGAACTGAGATTGCAGGAGCAGAGCCTCAGTCTCCCCTGTGCCCCTGCCATGTGTAACGGCCCCCTCTGTGCCCCCCCCTCCCCAGATCGCAGAGGGAATGGCCTTCATCGAGGAGAAGAATTACATCCACCGGGACCTGCGAGCTGCCAACATCCTGGTGTCAGACACCCTCTGCTGTAAGATCGCTGACTTCGGGCTGGCTCGGCTCATCGAGGACAACGAGTACACGGCCCGGGAGGGTGCGTCCGCCACCTTCCCCGCTCCACCCTGCCAGCTGGGGTGCCCCTCTCTGGGAAGCAGGGTGGTGGGGTTCCCCGGGCAGGTGTGGGCCCTGACAGCAGAGGGACAGAGATCCCAAGGCTGGAATGGGACCTTGCAGCAGGGCAGCGGTGTTGTGTTTGATGTGCCCAGTGAGAGGTTGCAGGGACAATTGCCCCAGCTTCTCTCTCAGTCTGATCCTCCAGTTCCAGTTTAGGGGGGTCTCCTGCCCCCAGGAAACCCCTGGCTGCTGCTGATTTCCCCCTCCTGCAGCACCGCTCCTCTGCTGGCTGATCAGAGGAGCAGGGCGGATTTCACACCTCCCTGATCGCCCTGGTTCTGCCCTGGGGGAGCAGGATGGGGAGGAGGATCTGGACAAGCTGGAGGGGTGGAGGAATCCCCTCAGCTCCCCCTAAACAGGAGCATTCACAGGTGGCCAGGTTTGAAACAGGCTCCTGCAGCCGTGAGTTCCAACCCCTCCAGAGGTGACTAATATCTACCATCAACAGCAATCGGATTTCATGCCATTTACCCTGGGTGGGTCATCGGGGGGAATCTAGAAATCCTCTTCTCTGCATGGATATTAAAGACCCCAGGGCACTTCTTGAGAGTCAGGGTTTTGCTCCACATGACTACCCTGCACCTCACGGACGGCTGCATTTCAGTGAGACTGTGCGGCTCTGCTGTGGAAAGTGTTTGAGGGATTCACGAGGTCACAAGGTTACCGGCCAAGGCACTGATCACTGCTCGTGAATGCCTTGCACAGAGGGTGAGCTGTAGTGAACCTCTTCCTCCGCCGCCCGCCCATGTAGCATTGGAAACTCTAGCTCGTGGCAGGATGCCGGCCTGACGCGTCTCTCTGCGTCTCTCTCCTCCTGCAGGGGGTAGAGCAGCAGCAGGCTCAATATAGACACCCACAGCCTCGCAGAAACATCCCAGCCCAGTGAGGAAGTGGGAGCCCACCACAAGCAACCTGTCGCCCCTGTGTCTCTGAGCTCTTTGCAGCTCTTGGTGAATCCGAGCTGCACAGGATACTGCAGTGCAGACCTGAGCTGGGCCTGGGGGGTGGGTCCTGCAGAGGCGAGCTGGGACCTGGCGCTGCCTCAGCCGGATGCGCCGAGCATCATGCGCCAGAGAACATCTGGCCGTTTCTGGTAGAAACAGGCTGGTGTCTCGCAGAGCCGGGAGCGGGGCTGAGACCTCGCACTGGCCAGGATGGGCAGGAGGTTCTGCTCAAATGTACTGGTATAACTGAAGTGCGAGGGAAAGGGGTTCAGGGGTGCAGAGACAGCCCCCCACTCATGGTAGGCTGGGGGGGAGGGAGCTCTGGGGGAGAGCGTAAAACCTGAAGGCAAGGGCCAGTGTGGAATGGGGTGCAAGGAACGCTGTGGGGCGTGGGGGAGAGGGGTTAGACGTCTAGAGGCAGCCCCTCCCAGTGTGAGAGCAGGACCTTTACAGGTTATGGGGTCATGACTGTTTTCTTCAGTAAGGGACCTAGACATATGGAGAGAACAGCCTGGCTGCCCCCTGCTCCCCAGGCCAGCGAGAGCAGCAGGGCGAAACATTTATAACCTCTCTAGAGCAGAGGGGCTGCTCCTCCGGACACTGATTGCCCTGTAACTCACATCAGTCCTGTAGGATTAGAGCCCTCTCTGGTGGCTCATGCAGGAACAGCCAGCACTAAAAGGCCGGTGTTGGCATCTGTTCTAGGGTTGGGCGGGGACCCCACTGGTTCCATCGCTCAGGTCAGTTTCAGTAACTCTGGGGCCATGATGAGATGTGCAGATGATACCCAGGTCTGCACATCAGCGGTCTGTGATGTGCGTCTAGGGCATCTTTCTCAGTGCCAAAGCAGGTTTTTATACCCTGGGTCCTTGTGTGATTCACTGGCTCAGGCGTGACTCTCGTTCCACCTCCTCCTTCCTTTCTCCGAGGATAGGCACAGTTTCGTGCTGGCTCAGGGCCACACCATTTTGTGCAGGGAAGAAGAGCATGTCTTTCGGTTTGTTTCACTTGGTTACAAAGTCAGTCTCCACAAGTTTCCTGTGGCCTCTAGGCTTCTCAGTTTCTCCTTCCAGCTTGTGACCATCACGGGTTCTGGGTTGGCTCTGACAGTCGTGAGTGTGTGGAGCACAAACCATGGGATGAGCCCAGTGTAGAAAGCTGGGAGGATGGAATGAGTCAGCCAGCCTGATGCAACAGTGCAGGGATCTATAGCTAATTACCTTGTAGTTAGCTGTCCTTAGCATGCATCATACTGTCCCCGTATGTTCTGCTTTAGGGTCTTGAGCATGCTTGTTCTCTCTCTTTCTCCCCTTATCCCCCTGGACTCGGAGTCACTGTTTAAAACCCTGTGCAAGGTTTTAGCTCTGCAGTGCTGGGAGCTGTGCAAGCTAAAAACCAACCATAACACCTTGACAAGGGCACTGCTCACACGTCCCCTAGATTAAAGCTTTTCTTTACTGATGGCTGGAATGGGGGCTTCTGTAGAAATGGATAAAACTGCCCATAACCCTGCAGTTTGGGCAAACGAAAACAGCGTTTCCAAATAATAAAACCTCCGACAGTGCCAGTGTAGAATCTAGTTAGGGGCCTTTTGTGGGGGGTCTTTAATTCCTGTGAATATTGTCAGAGATTTTCCAGGGGCGGCTGGGGGTGTTGGGTCTGGGGATTCTGTGTTTCCTGCCCCAGCAGGCTGAGCGGGGATGGGAATTAAAACCACAAGCAACCAGTCTCCCATCTGCTGCCCCGAGCATGGGCTGCCCAGGGTATCGGGAGGCTCCCAAAAGCCATTGAGTGTGCTGATACATCTCTGAGATGGGCACTGATGGGGAAGGAAGGGGATGAGTTTAAGTGATGGGCGAAGGTGTAAGTGATGAGGGCAGGTGGGGAACTCCCAGGTCAGCCTTAACCTCTTTTTTTAAATCCCCTTGCGTATTTCAGGAGCTAAGTTCCCCATTAAGTGGACAGCACCAGAAGCCATTAATTATGGGACGTTCACCATCAAGTCTGATGTTTGGTCATTTGGAATCCTCCTGACTGAGATTGTCACCTATGGCCGGATCCCTTATCCAGGTCAGGACTTTAGCACACCCAGGCCCATCAGCAGAAAGGGGGTTGCGTGTGTGTGTGTGTGTGTGTGTGTGTGTGTGTGTGTGTA